TCTCTGTGGTTCTCAGCACAGCCTTGACTACACATTAGAGTCACGTGGAGACTTTTTCGGTTCTCAATGCCCAGGTCTTATCTGGACCCATTAATTAAACCAGAGTCTCTAGAGGTGGGACCTAGGCGGCAGAATTTGTAACTCTCCCCAGGTGATTCCAGTGTGCGGCCAAGGGTAAGAATCACAGTGCACGTTTGAGACAAATGATGCCATGAAGTGAAGGTTGAGAACTACGAATGAGAAAGCCATGGGGGGCCCACCCTACACACAGTGGCTCAGGGAGCCAGACAGGGCAAGACTGAGGTGCTCATTTCCTTTACACCTCGTAACCCTCTGCAGAGAGAAATGAGGGGTAGGTGGGAGCCATAAGGATGTGCTGGCAAAGACCATGAGGACTACTGTATGCTTCGGTCTGCTAATGACTGCATCCTCTTGGGACTCAGGCACTTTCTTAGCTGACCGCATTCAGCCACATTTGCTACATCTTGGGATTCAGCCACCTTCTTAGCTGACTGCATTCAGCCACAATCATTGGAGGCTGGAAGGCGGCAGGGCAATGAGTGAAGAAAACGGGCTCTCCGTGAGATGTAACGCACGCCCCTTGTATGGGGGTGCTAGATACGGTGATTGGGATTTCTTAATTCTCATCGCAATTCGGCTCACAGGAGACTCCTGGAATGTTTTTATCCATCACAGATGGTTTGGGAAGATGATAAATTAATATTGTAATCAATGGAGGCAAGGCTGAAATGGTTAAACAGCAATGTCTTCTTTGCCGGCTCTAAAAAGAAAGAGCCCCCAAAGTCCATAAAGAAGACAAATGGTAAACAAAACCTCCTATCTTTTGACAGATTCCAGGATGAGTATCATTCACAAACCATTCTGCGGAGAAAAGGGAGAAATTTATCTCATCTGACTTTGTATAGGACAACAGCCCACACCATAATGAGGCCATCCCAGTGCTGTGAAATTGCGTTGAATAGCTGGAGAGTGCAGCCGCCTGTTCCCTGGGTATGTTTATCACAGCCCTTTGTATGCACCAATCCTGTCAAGCCTGGCTTGCTTCTAAACTAGGGGAGGGGAAAAAGAATCCAATAAATTTGTTGCTACGAAACTTCCCAAATGGGGGACTGCATAATAACGTTTGGAATCTAATGTCCTTGTTCCAGACGGTTCTTGTCTGTGTCCACCCCTCCTCTAAATTGAACAAGGTCTCGAATCAGCCAATCACCTGCAGTATATGGGTGGCCTCCATACCCAGCCTGGGCCCCTCCCAGACCCCAAGAAGTTGAGGGTAAAGAGGGTCCTGACAGTCATTCCCAAGCCAACCTGGGAGTCAAGAGCCCCTGCCTGTGGTGCTGTCCCCATTCCCCTGTGAAACTCAACTGAAACAAAGCAAAGAAGTGCTGCCCTCACCTGAGGGCCTAAGATGGGGCTCTCTGAGGTCAATCTCAGGAGCCAGGGTCTGGAGGTGGCATCACACCTATAAGATTTTGGAAACCTCTGAGAGCAAACCATCACAAATTTAAATGCTGGGGCCAGCTGGACTCGGTGGCTCAGCCTGTAATCTCGCGCCTTTGGGAGGCTGAGGTGAGTGGATTGCCTGAGCCCCCGAGTTCGAGACCCACCTGGGCAACTTGGTGAGACCTCATCTCTACAATAAATCAAAAAATCAGCCGGGTGTGGTAGCGCGTGCCTGTAGTTCCAGCTACTTGGAAGGCTAAGGCGGAAGGATCGCCGGAGCCCAGCAGGTCGAGGCTGCGGTGACTGGGAGCGGCCACTGCACTCCAGTCTTGGTGACAGAGTGAGACTCCAACTCAAAAAAAAAAAAATAAGTAAATAAATGCTGGGGCCGATGTGATTCCACCCAAGGAACCATTTCCTCGAACCACTTGATTCTAGACAGACAAGGCAGAAGACCTCCACAGTGGTGGTGGTAGGGAATTGACCAAGAGACCTTGTGTGACGATCTCAAGGGTGCACCTCCCCTTGCCAGCATCTGAAGTTCTCCTAAAGCTGGTTCTTGCCAAGATCTCAGAGTCTCTTTTTGGTGGGAAGTGTCCCTGGGGGGAACTGAGGATTCAAAATTCCCATATTCTCTAAGGCAGTGACATCAGGAAAAGAAAGAGCTGAGGGGAAAGATCTGGGACTTTTAAGAGATGCCTTTCCTCACGAATCAGATGGTTGACTCTTTCACATCACATTTTTGCTCACCAAGCAGAGAGCAGATCTTTTTCACCAATCATAAAGCAGGCCCTTCAAGCAATGCTTTTCCTCACCATTCAGGCCCCAGGTACCTTGAAGCATTGTCTTTCCTCACCTCTCAAGCAGAAGGTACCTTGAAGCATTGTCTTTCTCCACCAATCAGGTGGCAGGTCCTCAAAGCAACCCCTTTCTTCACCTTTCAGGTAGTAAGTTTCTGGAAGTGTTATCTGTCCTCACCAATCAAGCAGTAGGTTTCTTGAAGTATTATCTAACTCAATCAAAAATCCCAACCTTTCCTGCCACATTTTCTCAGCAGGGTGTGCACCCGTGTCTAAGCAGAATCAATCCCTGTGAGTTCTTTTCCCAGGGTTCTCAGTGTCCAAGGCTGGGGAGGAAGTTGCTGTCCAAGGCTGGGAAGGAAGACATAGTCAGTAAGCCTGGCCACAGCATTTGAAACCATAAAAGAGGAACATACCCTCATTTGCTTGCACCTGATCCTCCTAGAAACCAGCAAAGGAAGCCAAGCAACTACATGCCATTCACCCAGAGTGGCAGGGCCCATGGAGAAGAGCCTGCAGGTTCCCAGGACGCTTGGCTTCCTGAAATCTCTCACTCTGAGTGCCAAGAGGCTGCACATGGCCTTTGTCCCTGCCTAGAGCAATAGGGGATGGGTAGAGATGACCAAAGCCCTGTTCCTTCCCACTTCCCTGGGAAATATGCATTTCTGCTCCGACAGCACAAATTGTCATGACAGAAATGATCAGTGTTGAGCCGGGTTCGGTGGCTCAGCCTGTAATCCCGCACCTTGGGAGGCTGAGGTGAGTGGACTGCCTGAGCCCGCGGGTTCGAGACCCGCCTGGGCAGCGAGACCTCATCTCTACAATAAATCAAAAAATCAGCCGGGCGTGGTAGCGTGCACCTGTAATTCCGGCTACTCGGAAGGCTGAAGCGGAAGGATCGCCGGAGCCCAGCAGGTCGAGGCTGCTGTGGCCGGGAGCAGCCACTGCACTCCAGTCTGGGTGACAGAGTGAGACTCCCACTCAAAAAAAAAAAAAAAGAAAGAAAGAAATGATCAGTGTCCTTCCTCCTAGAAGCCAGACCTTCTCACCCATGAGCATAGGCTAGCTCACCTGAGTGGCTGCTGTTGGTTAACATTTCCTGGCTGAACCCTCCATGAAATCTATGTGTAACCCAGCTGTTTACAAGACCCCGGCCTCAATTCTTCCGTAAATGAGAGACAACAAACACTTTGGTCAAAGGAGTTGGATACCTCCCAGTGATGTTGTCTGGAAACCCAAAGCCATCTCCCCCAAGTATTGTCTTGCTCACACCTTCCTGATGCTACAGGTGTTTCTTGAGTCCCTTTGTCTGGGCTACTTTCCCATTCTCTGCTTGGTCTCCTAGGGGATTTTCACCTGAAACAGTAATTTTTTTTTTTTAAATGTGGAAACAGCCCAGCTACCTTTATGCTCATATTTCTCTTGGCAACCACCAGAGGCAGCCATACGTCCACAGATACAGAAGGCAATCTTGTTTGCATCTTGGAAGCCACTCTACTCATTCCTTTGCATTTGGAATCGAAGGGATTTCTCCTGGAGGAGACAGACTGGAAACCAGGGTTTTGTTTGTCTGTTTTTTGAGAAAAGTGTTTCACCCAAGCAGGGCTGGCTTCATGGGGCCCCATGCTCAGAAGGGCATATGCTTGGTTGAAACTCAGCTGTTTTAAAATTCTTAATCGCTTTTGAATAAGAAGCGCCCTATTTTCGTTTTGCACTGGGCCCTGCAAATTACGTAGTCAGTTCTGCACACAAGTGCCCAACATCTGGTAGACTTCCTGTTAGGAAGAGATACTTTTGCTTCACTCACAGGCTAAGCAGTGGCCATGGGAGGTCTCTCACCACCTGGGCCTGAGAGACCCTCTGTGTCAGGGTCCATACAGCTGCATGTCAGGAATCTGTCTACTCTGAGTTGTTGCCCAAGAGCCCGCGAGGAAGCCACATTCATGGCAGGCCCTGGTCCTAGGTCTGCGTTTGGGGCAGAAGAGTCCTGGTCCCTGGGATTTCCAAAAGCTAACGTGGGCCCCTACTTCTCACTCTCTAACATCACTAAATTCTCTGGCATTTCAGCAGCTCCTCTGAGTCATCTGACCATTGCTTCATTTTTGTTGGTGAGAGGAAAACAAACATCAGAAAGTTAAAACATTAGTGCTTGCTTCAGTGGATGAAAATAGAGTCTCTCGTCTCCTTTTAATTTTTTTTTGTCCCGAGAAGTAAAGCTATTTGCAGATGGATTAAATGTTCCTTCTGAGACCCTGCTCTTGAAACTGCCGACCTCACTGCAACTGTGCATGTCTGTGTGTGTGTGTCAGGGGTGGGGGGCGGTGCTCACACAACCAAAGGAGTGCGTCTGCATGCATTCGGTAAAAGAGAGTCCTTTGTCCCGAAGGTAAGCCTGGCGAACATGACTCGAGTCCCTGTGGTATGCGGCACACCTGTGCGGAGAAGCCCTGGAGGGGGAGGGGCGGGGGAGGTATGGGCAGCCGGAGTCCTGCACCTTCCTAGGGGATCACACCTTCTCCTTTCTTCTCCTTTGAGTCATGTCTCCATCGCCCCTTTGTTTTGGCTTACACCTCCAAATACCAGGGAGGCCTGGTGTGTGTATGAGATGGCCTCAGTCTCATGTCGATTTGTATTGGGACTAGAAAAAAGAAAGAGAAAAGGAGAAGGAAAAGAGGGGGGGGCTGGTGTTCCCACAGTTTGCCACCCCCGTCCCCTGCCCCCTCACATGCAGCCTACCTTTGCAGGCCTTGCGGTGGGTAATGGGCTTGCCCATGTCGCGGTAGTAGCCCTCCTTGCAATAGTGGCAGTGGCGACCGGCAGTGTTGTGGCGGCAATTGAGGCAGACCCCCCCACTCTTGCGCCCTGAAAGTTTGTAGAGCTCCATGTTGAAGCGGCAACGCCGGGCATGCAGGTTGCAGTTGCAGGCTGCAGGGGAAGATAGGGAGAAGCTGTCAGTTGTAGGGAGGCTGGGAGGACGGGCACTCATGGGTGCTGAGAACAACTCCTCCCTTTCCCACTGCAGGTTCCCAGGAGGCAGACCAGTGCCCTGGGGGCTCTTCCATGGCTCCCCCTTTTTATACCCATAATCATTTATTGAGCACTTAGCAGTACCATGACTGAGGCTTTTCCAAAATTCATATATTGAAGCCATAATCCCCAGTACCCCGGAATGTGACTGAATTTGGAGACAGGGCCTTAAAATAAGGCCCTTAGGGTGGGTCCTACTCCAATCTGACTGCTGTTCTTATAAGAAGAGGAGACTGGGACACAGAGAGACATCAGGGATGTGTGAGCTCAGAGGAGAGACCCCACAAGGACACAGCAAGAGAGCAGCCACCTGCAAGCCAAAGAGAGAGGTCCACACCTTGATCACGAACTTCCAGGCTCTGCAAGGGTAAAAAGTAAATGTCTGGTGTTTCAGTCCTCAGCCTGTGGTACTCTGTTGTACCAGTTGAGCAGACCATACCTGCCTCAAAGCATTCACCTCTGCTCTTGCAGGTTCCTACTCCTACACACCTGCCCGCACTCCCCTTCTCCAGCTCCTTCTCATGCCACTGAAGACTCTGGGGCCTGTTGCGTCACCTTCCTCCCCACCATCAACCTGGCCGGCTTCCTGTTCCAGAGGGTCTGCCCAGCCCTGGTCTCAGGACCCTCTGGAGAGGACCGCCCCCCACCCCCAATGGCCCTCTCTGACCCTCGTCTCTCCCAGGCCCACTTCCATGGCCAGTTTCCTACCTATGCATGTTGCTCAGTACTTAGCTTCCTTTCCCCAACTGCCCCAGCACCTTCCAGGGTCCATCTCCATCACCCCTTACCATCTCTGTGTACCTGACTCCCATATCTATATTTCCAGCTTCAGATTTGGGGTTACCACTTGGAACCCAGAGGCACCTTCCCCACATCAATTCACTCCCTACCATCCTGCCCTCTGGGTTCCTTGTTGCCTGGGCCTAGCCCTGCAGGCTTTCCTCAGTACCTTAACCAGTACAGGACTGAGGATACCACTGAGAGAAAGCCCAGATGATTTAGCTTGGCCTTCAGGGCTCTGAATGAGCTGGCCCTGGGCTGCCTCCAGCTTCTGGAGGCACTCTGTTGTACAGATATGCACAGTGGGCTCCTCCGAGTCTGGAGTAGATGCATTGAAAAGTAGGGCCTCCCACAACTGGGCAGCTAGGTTGCTTCCAGTTTTTCACTATTAGAAACAACATAATGTTAACTACCTTTGAACACAACAGAAACTATCTTGAATCACCTTTGAACATACATATTTGTGCTCTGCTCTGATTATTGTGGTACAGTGAATTTCTCAAGATGGATTTACTGGGTTGAATTTTGGAGCCAAAGTCTTAAAAAACATGATTTTAATTTTGGCTCCAAACTGCCAAATTGCTCTCAAGAAAGGCTGTCCTAAACTTACACTCCCACCAGCAGGATGTGAGCACTCCTATTTCACCACACCCTTGAAAGGAATAATGCGCACTGGGTATCAGCATTCTTTAAAAAAAATTTTGCCAATTGGTTTGAGGGAAACACACACACATGATTTTAATTTGCACGTCTTTGATTACTAGAGAAGTTGGGTATTTCTTCATGTGTTTGTTTATCTATTTATATTTCTTTTTTGTGCATTGCCTGTTCATACTATTTGCCCAATTTTCAAATAAAGTGAGGTTTTTTCATATCATCTAGTGTTTTCATACAGTATGGATTAAAAACCATTTGTCTTTTCTACCATACAAGCTGTAAATATTTTTACCAGTTTCTTATTCACATGCTACTTCTTTTTTCACATGTTACTTTTATTTGCCTTTTTAATTTTTCTTGCTGATGTTATGATAAGCTTCTCTAAATATTCTTCCTAGGGTCATCCTCCAAATCACTTACCCATTAATCACTCCACTTATAAACAGAGATGAACAGGGGCTCTAGAGGAGGCATGTGTAGGATACGAGAACAGAGTTCCTGTCTTGATGTCTGGAAGCAGCTGGGAGCCAAAATAGAGAAGAGGAGGACTCCTGAGAGCCTTACTAGGTATCCCTCAGCAAGTGTCTCAAGGGCTGAGTTCAACCAGGTACAAAGAAAGAGGCTATAGCGGCACCCTGCCCTCCACACAGAGAACTGTCACACTCACGCACATTCACGCATTCTGCCAGACAAAGGTAAAAGAGGACATTCAGAGAGGTAAAGTGACCACATCCCAAGACCACAGAGTCAGTAAGTGGGGGGCCTAGCACTGCAACCCAGGTCTTCTGGCTCCTGTTCCACTGTCCCAGAGAAAAGGACACATCACTGGAAGTAATATCTGAGCCTAGACTACAGCCAGAATCTAGATCTTTCCAACAAGCACAGAAATCACAGGGCCTAGTGTACCCGCCCAGGGTCAGGGATCAGAATGGGTCAAGCCAGTCCTCCCACATACCAGGAAAGACCTCATAACAGCACCTTCTGGTTCTTCTTGGAGGCAAAAGCTAATCCCATGTCCTCCTTTGTAAAGGCAGCTGTCCTGCATCCCCTGATAGAGACTTCCCTAGCCTCTGACCCCCTCCTGGGAGTTCAGCACCCTACTTTCCCTTCCCAAGGAGGAGTTCTGGCTGGTGGCTCTCTTCCATAAGCACCTTACACCAACAGAAGGTTCTTCCCAAACAACTGATCACACAATAGAAAACTCTGGAGGCCAAACATCAAAAGGCAGGGCTCCCATCCTCCCCCCATTCTTGGAGCTGTCAGGGGACATCAAGTAGCAACTGCCCATGCTCAAACTTCTGCAAAGTATTTTATAGCTTGTTTTCTTTTCTCTTTGTTTTATTTTCTCTACACAAATGGAAAAATGCATTGGGCAGAGAAGCTCACATCTGGATCCCTTGGCTACACACAGAGGTGTCACCCAACTCCGGGCCTGTCCCCAGCCCCCTTCTTGGAGAGACACCTTAATCCCTTGTGCTTTCCTGTTTATCTCCTACTTCTCTTGGAGGTAAAAATATTGGGTATTAGTTTCATTATCAGATTTCAAGGCGGGAAGGAAAGGGCAGCTTTGTAAGAACAGAGAGGTCAGCCTGGAGAGAAGGGGGGGTGGGGGGCAGAAGAGACACTGCAAGTCCAGCACGGGCAAGGACAGTGAGCCCTGCCTGGGTTGAAAAGGCTCTGCCTTATATCCAGGGGTACCCCAGTCACAGAAGGAGGCCCAAGCTCTTTCCCCTCCTTTAGCCACCATGTGGGGATCACCAAGGATGCATCACATGTGGCTGTATTTCAGACCCAAGGCATAACAAGGGGCAGGGAGGTAGGAGACAGAGAGGCCCCCTCCCACCTCACCCCTCAACAAACCCTGCAGGAAAAAGGGTCCAAGAGATGGGCTCCTATTTTCCTCCCCAATCCAAAAGCCCTCAAAGTCCTATTTTTGATGCATGCTTGTGACCACTTCCTAGCTCCCAGAATTCCTTAAACCTTTTTGACCCTATCCCATCAACCTGGAATTGCCCAACCCCTCACCAACCCCACGTCAGTTCAATGCAATGCACATCCATGGCCCTCTAGCTATGTGCCTGGCTCTGTGCCACCAGCTATGTGGGATTACTGAGAGAGATGATGCACTCTCAACTGTTCAGGAACTCTCCATCTAATGGAGAGGGGCAGACCAGCACTCACACAAGCAAGCTCCTGATCAAGTGGGACAAATGCGCTCATCAACTGTGTTGGTTCACTGAGGACAGGGAAAGTTTGCTCTTATATCCTCCAGCCCACAGCAGGCTTGATATATTTTTGATGTACAAATGAGAGAGAAAGAGAGAGAGAAAGCAAAGATGAGAGAAGGAGGGTGGATGGATGAATGCATGGGCAGACAGGTAGACATTCAGGTAGTTAGATAGGACAGATAGAAGATGTACTGCCTAGACCATTCCCTGATAAGGCATGGCCTTGTGACATTTCTTTTATTGTTGCTTTGAACTATTTTAAACTCATCTTGCTGCTTTAACTCATTAATTTAACTTCTGCCACTCAAGTAGACCGCAGTGCTTTGGGGAGAAGAATTCACATCTAAGTGCCCTGGACTATTCTTGGGACACTGAATAGGGCCTTGCACACAGAGACTGGGTCTGTATCTATTGGTCTGATACGTTTACCAAAATATAGTTGTTGGCCCTTCCCAAAAGACCATGATAAATTAACTCCCAATCCTACCAGGACTAGCCCAGGTCCAGAGAGCACCCAGTAGACATTGTTAAGCAGTATCAGGATCCTGTTTCCTGGCTACCCCAAACTTCACATGGCCCAGGGGCTCTCTTAGTGGAGCAGGAAGATCATTTAGCAATGGGCCTCCTCAGTAGCTCTGGTCTGGGCCCCTGCACCCTTCCTCTGCCCTCCTGCACATAAGATCACAGTCTCCTCTCCCTTCCAAGGCAGTTCTTTGAGAAGGTTGCCTATGCTATCTCTGCAATGGAACAGGATTTTGGATTTACATGTCTGTAGCTGAACTGTCCAAAATAGTTGACCCATGGATACACCACCCGCAGGCTGGGCACTTTGTAGGCAAGAACCAGTCCCCAGTCCTGGGCTGCCTGTCACAAGGTATATAACAAGCTCTCATATCTGTCATGATTAGCAGGACATTTTGACATGTTCAGGCTACATGGGCAGGTTGGGGTATGATGGGCACCTGCAGTATTTGGGGCGGGCACTGCTTCCTTCACCAGCTCCTTTGCTCAATACACCTGTGACTGCTGAGTCAGGACCAAGAGACCTGCTCACCAAGCACACAAAGTTCTCACAACTTCCCTGGGGAAGGATGGGACACTGATTCTCAACCAGGGGCAACTGTGTACCTCAACAGACATTTGGCAGTATCTAAAGATATTTTTTGTTATCACAACAGGGAAGGGACAGGCTATTTGTATCTGTGGGATAGAGAACAGAGAGGTTGCTAAACA